TTTTTTCCCCCTTTTCCTTAGCTGTGCTACTCCCTTTTATTCTATTGGCTTTTGAAAGCCAATAGAATAGATTCTCTTGAATAGAGTCTAATTCTATTTTATTTATTTATGAGACTTATATACCGCTTTAAGTGTAAGCACTCTCTAAGCGGTGTACACCAGTAAGCAATGTATATATATATTTACATTGCCCCCAACAATCTGGGTCCTTATTTTACCTACCCCGGAAGGATGGAAGGCTGAGTCAACCTTGAGCCGGTGAGATTTGAACCGCTGACCTGATGAACACAGTCAGCTAAAGTGGCCTGCAGTACTGCACTCTAACTGCTGCGCCACTTTAGCTTTCAAAAGCCAATAGGAATGGTCCAGGCTGTCTCTGCCCTGCTGAGCCCGCCAAAAGTCCCATTCTGCAAACGGTGCTGCAAGTTGTCTGCAGCGAAGGCGAGCTGTCTGGAAGCTTCCACCCCTCCCTGCTGAGCAACTACTAAAAATGTAAGGAAAAGAGGGCCAGGGGCGGGAGGTGGGAGGCCGGCGGGCGCAGGGAGGGTTGCTGGCACGTGTGGGGCCCGGTGGGTGCCTTATCTCCCTTGGGCTGCGCCAGCTGGTGGCCCAGCCGGTGGTCGCCTTGCGCCATTGCTGCCCCTTGCCAGCTACAACTCGGCCGGTGCAGGGAACAGCACCGTGCATGCGCAGCGCTCCCAGGCAGGGAAAGTCCTCGACTTACGACCAATTGGGTAGTCCTCGACTTATGACCAGTTGAATAGTCCTCAACTTACAACCGGTTGGGGGTCACGGCATTAAAAAGGTTGAGAACCACTGACACAGCACAATGTTAACCTTAAGAGGGCCTGATGGCTCAGCGGTTCAAGACGTTGAGCCTGTCAGCTGGGAAGCGGACAGCGGGGGTTCAGGACCGAGCACCACATGATGGGGCAAGCTCCCGTTCCTTGCTCCAGTTTCTGCCCAGCTAGCAGTCTGAAAGCATTCAAACGCAAGTAGATAAATAGGTACCATTTCGGTGGGAAGGCACTGTGGCATAGAGTTACGCTGGGCCACGTGACCACGGACGTTGTCTTCGGACAACGCTGGCTTCCTCGGCTAAGAAAGGGGGGTGAGCGCTGCCCCCCCCAGAATTGGACACGGCTGGACAGGGAAACCTTTCCCTTTCAACATAGCACTGACGATGGTACCTAGTCTGGGCAGGGGGCTGGACTAGAAGACCTCCAGGTGCCTTCCAGCTATTCTATTCTAGTTGGGTCAGGAAACGTCTGCGAGAAACCCATCCAGCTACAAATATTCTCTTTTATCACAACCAGAATTGGAACAGCCATCAGGGATGTTAATAATAAAGTTGGAAGGGATCTTGGAGGTCATCTAGTCCAACTCCCTGCTCAGGCAGGAAACCCTAGACCATTTCAGACAAATGGCTGTCAAATCTCTTCTTAAAAACTTCCAGTGTTGGAGCATTCACCGCTTCTGGAGGCAAGGAGTTCCACTGGTTAATTGCTCCAACTGTCAGGAAGTTTCTCCTTAGTTCCAGGTTGCTTCTCTCCTTGATTAGTTTCCACTCGTTGCTTCTTGTCCTGCCTTCAGGTGGTTTGGAGAATAGCTTGACTCCCTCTTCTTTGGGGCAGCCCCTGAGACACTGGAAGGCTGCTATCCTGTCCTCCCTCGTCCTTCTCTTCGTTAAACTAGACATACCCAAATCCAGCAACCGTTCCTTATATGTTTTAGCCTCCAGTCCCCTAATCATCTTTGTTGCTCTTCTCTGCACTCTTTCCAGAATCTCAACATCTTTTGTACATCCTGGTGACCAAAACTGGATGCAGTATTCCAAGTGTGGCCTTACCAAGGCCTTGTAAAGTGGTATTAACACTTCCCGTGATCTTGATTCTCTCCCTGTTAATGCAGCCTAGCACTGTGTTGGCTTTTTTGGCAGCTGCAGCACACAGCTGGCTCATATTTAAGTGATATATCCAGCTTGTGCTTCACTAGCAAAACTGACGGAAGATGCCACGTGTGGACTGAGGAATTGTTTTCTTCACGGCAAGACCCCCTTTAGGAGATTCTGGGACCTTATCTCAAGCTCCCCGGTGCCAGCCCAGGAGAGAAGCATTGTGGGATTAAAACTGGCCCTCAGATCTGATTATAATTTTAATAATAGTAATAGTAATAGTAGTAAAGTTGGAAGGGACCTTGGAGGTCATCTAGTCCAACCCCCTGCTCGGGCAGGAAACCCTACACCATTTCGGACAAATGGCTGTCCAGTCTCTTCTTAAAAACTTCCAGTGTTGGAGCATTTACTGCTTCTGGAGGCAAGCTGTTCCACTGATTTAATTGTTCTCACTGTCAGGAAGTTTCTCCTTAAGTTCTAGTTGCTTCTCTCCTGATGAGTTTCCCCCGTTGCTCTTGTACTGCCTTCAGGTGATTTGGAAAATGCTTAAATCCATCTTCTTTAATGAGCCCCTGAGATATTGGATACTGCTATCATGTCCCCCCTTGTCCTTCTCTTCGTGAAATAGACTACCCAATTCTGCAAAAAACCGTTCACTTATATGTTTAGCCTCCCGTCACATAATAATCTTGTCGCTCTTACTCTGTACTCTTTCTAGAGTCTCGACATCTTTTTTACATCGTGGTGACCAAAACTGGATGCCGTATTCCAAGTGTGGCCTTGCCAAGGCCTTGTAAAGTGGTATTAATACTTCACGTGATCTTGATTCTATCCCTCTGTTAATGCAGCCTAGCACTGTGTTGGCCTTTTTGGCAGCTGCAGCACACTGCTGGATCATATTTAGGTGATTGTCTACTAGGACTCCGAGGTCCCTCTCACAGTTACTACTATTGAGCAAAGTGCCACCTATGCTGTACTTGTGCATTTGTTGTTGTTTTTTTTGCCTAAATGTAGAAACCTTGCTTTTTTCACCATTGAATTTCATTTTGTTAGGTTAGTGCCCAGGTTCAGTCTGTCCAGATCCTTCTAGTATCTGAAGCTGTCTTCGGGAGTGTTGGCTATTCCTGCAGCTTGGTGTCGTCTGCAAATTTGATGAGGTCCCCATCTATCCCTTCATCCAAATCGTTGATGAAGATGTTGAAGAGTACTGGGCCCAGAACAGAGCCCTGGGGCACCCACTACACACTTCCCTCCATATAGATGCAGTTCCATTGAGGACCACTCGCTGAGTACGGCCGGTCAGCCAGCTACGGATCCATCTGGTGGTGGTTCTGTATACCCCACATTTTTCTATCTTGTCAAGTAGTAGGTTGTGATCTACTTTATCAAATGCCTTACTGAAGTCCAAGTAAATTATGTCCACAGCATCCCTCTGATCCACTAATTTTGTCACTTGGTCAAGAATGCAATAAGATTTGTCTGGCATGATCTATTTTTGACAAACCCATGTTGGCTTTTAGTAATGATTTTGTTTGCCTCTAGGTGTTCGTTGATTCGTTGTTTGATTATCTTTTCCAGGATCTTCCCAGGTATTGAGGTCAGGCTGATAGGTCTGTAATTTCCTGGAACCATTTTTTTTGCATTTTTTGAGTGGGAACTTACTACATCAGATCTCTTTTCCCAGTCCTCTGTAGTTCCCCTGTGTTTCCAGGATCTTTGAAATATAGTTCAGTGGATCCGATATCCACATCTGCCAGTTCCTGAGACTCTGGGTTAATCCGTCTGTTCCTGCGATTTGAACTCATCTAGGCTGGACAGGTGCTCACTAACGATTTTCTTGCCTATCTTAACTTTTGTTTTCTGTTTTTGTTTTTTGTGCACTATTTTTGATAGGTTTTGTCTGTTTTTTGTCCCTTTGTAGGTAGCCCCCAACTTGCAGCCCCATCCGCCATCATTTCCTGGCAAAAGCGAGTCTGGTCCCGTTTTACGATCTTTACTGCCGCAACCTGTTCCGAAAATCACTGCAGTTTTTAAGGATCACAACGTCCTTAAGGAATCTGGCTCGCCCTATTGATTTTGCCGGCCATAAGCCAGCTGGGGAATGATACCAATGGCGGCTCCGCAAGACCCCAAGGCCGCCACAATCGTCATAAAAGTACACCTCGGTTGCAAAATGCCCAGAGTTCGGTCGTGCGCTGCTGCAAGCGATTGTTAACTTTAGAATGGTATGGAGCCGAAGGGACCTGGGAGGTCTTCTAGTCCAGCCCGCTGCTCAAGCAGGAAATGTGAGGACCCGACCCTAAGTTATCTTTCTCCAGGAATATTGTCCCTTTGAAAAGTTGTTAAGGGATGACGTAAGGCTGAGGACTAACTGTATGCGCCTCAAACGCGGCAATTAAAGTTGTGCTGTTTTCGGAGCAGGCAATCGTGACTTGGGGGGGGGACATTTTTCCCATTTCCCCCCGCCCCCCCCCGCCCAGAAAGCAGGAAGTGGACACTCCCTCCAGAGTGTTCCCGGCACCCAGACTGCCTGGAAGCCCTTCCTCATCAGATGGACAGGGTGGACGCGTGACCCAAATACCACCCGGCTGGGCTCGGTCCTGGAATATTGGCCCCTGCCCAGGGGTAAGAGAGTCCGTGTCTGCACGGTGGCTGTGTAACTAGTCTGCCCCCCATTTCTGGAGGGGTCCTTACAGGATAAGAGGATCCCCAACTGGTGGGGACTCTGAAAGGGTCCTGCCTCTTCCCCCCCCCCATTAACGGCTCTGTCCGTCCGTCTGTCCTCTCCCCCGCGTGAAGCTGGAGGCAGCCCGCGAAGGGGGAAAGCCAAGGGGGGCAGAGGTTCAGGACTGGCCCGAGAGGCAGCAGCAACCTTCCAAGGTTGTACTACAGCAGTGTTTCCCAAACTTGACAATTTTAAGGCATGTGGACTTCAACTCCCAGAATTCCACAGCCAGCAACGCTGGCTGTGGAATTCTGGGAGTTGAAGTCCTCATGCCTTAAAATTGTCAAGTTTGGGAAACACTGTACTACAGGGCTACACCCGCCCCCCCCCAGTCACAACAAAGGCATGCCACATCTACGGAGACAGGAAGGGGGGTCCTACCTCTGTGTGTCGGAAATGCACCACCAGGCCCAGGCCCAGCCACCGTAGATGTAGTGTTTTTGGTCGGAACCGCAACATCCACCTGCCCAGAGAACAGAGAAGAAGCGTTGCAATGACATTGCAGGCAATCCCACCCTTGCTCAGTCACTCACCTCCTGCCTTTATAAATAGTCACTTTGAAAAGGTGGCAAACACACACACACAATACTCCTCCTTCCATCTATTTTCCCCACAATAGCAACCCTGTGAGGTGGGTTGGGCTGAGGGGGGGGGGACTGGCCCAAAGACACCTAGTTTGGCTTTCGTGCCTAAGTCGGGACTAGAACTCACCATCTCCGGGTGATTGGCCCAAAGTCACCTGGTCTGGCTTTCATGCCTAAGGCGGGACTGGAACTCCCAGTCTCCTGGCGATTGGCCCAAAGTCACCTGGTCTGGCTTTCATGCCTAAGGCGGGACTGGAACTCACCAACTCCTGGTGACTGGCCCAGAATCACCCAGCCAGATTTCATGGCTAATGCGGGACTAGAACTCACCGTCTCCTGGCAATTGGCCCAAAGACGTCCAAACCCAGCTGGCTTTCGTGCCTAAAGGAAGGCGGGACTAGAACTCATAGGTAATTGGCCCCAACAGATCTGACTCCTTCTCTCCCGATGCTCAAGTATCAGTGGTTTCTCAACCTGTGGGTCGGTGACCCCATTTGGGGTCGAACGACCATTTCACGGGGTTGCCAACACGCAGATCCCGCCATTTTTTCTCCCCTTTTCCTTTTCTGTGTACTCCCGTGTTAATTCTATTTGCTTTTGAAAGCCAATATAATAGACTCTCTTGATAGAGTCTAATTCCTATTGGTTTCCAAGCCAATAGAATGTTCCCCCCACGGCTGTCTCTCCCTGCGAGCCCGCAGTAAGTCCTTCGGCAAACGGTGGCTGAACCCACGTTGAGTAGTCTCGACTTACGACTGGTTTGAAGTAGTCCTCGACTTACGACCGTTGGGGGGTTGGTCGTGGGCATTAAAAAGATTGAGAACCACTGCTCAAGAACGAAGAATTCTCCCCTTCTTGCTTGCAACTGCTGGCATTTTTCTGAGTTGGGGCAACCTTTTAAATTGGATGGGTGCAAGAAAGTGTGGCTGCCCGAGAACAGTTGCAAAGAAGCTGGTACCAAGGCGGGGTTCTTCTCAAAGGCAAGCCAGGCCCAAGATCCCTTACTTCTCACTCGTGTGCAAATTAGTGGGTGACCCAAACTCCCAGAATTCCCCATGCCACTTGTGCTGGTTGCATCCTGGGAAGCTGAAGTCCACTCCTCTTCAAGCATGGGGCGTTCTGGGAGCTGAAGTCCACGCTCCTTAAGCATGCTGCTGAGGATTCTGGGAGTTAAAAGTTCACCTCCTTAAAGCATAACTGGCTGAGGACTCTGTAGTTGAATTCCACCCATCTTAAGCCCCGCCAGTTGGGGGATTCTGGGATTGAAGTCCACCCTCCGTAAAACATGCTGGCTGAGGATTCTGGGTGGGCTCAACACCCACTCTTTTCACAAGCGGGACTTTGAGGAATTCCCACAGGAGAAGCTCTCTTCTGACCACACACAACACCTTCGTGCAAAACAAAACCGTCCCCCAGGGCTTCCACCACACGATCTCGGTAACCGCCAGGCGGTGCCAGTGCTCTCTTCTGAGCTCCCATGGGGCGGAGGTGAGAGCAGCCTTCCCACTCCTACCAGCTTTGGTGCGTTGATTCTGCTTATGGTGCTCCACAGCCGCTTCCTGTCCCTTGGCAATGCAGCTGAGATCAGTTTGGTGCGTGCCAATTCAAATAGAAACACCAGGCGTGGAAGGGAACTGGGAGGTCTTCTAGTTCCCAACCCCCTGCTCAAGCAGATACCCTAGTATTGGGGTCCCCAGCCCGACGTTGCATGGACCGGTCCTGGTTTGACAAGATGCCAGTGAACTGTCTGCACAAACAAGTCGCCATCCGTGCAATGCAGGCAGCAGACAAAACCATGCACTCTCCAAGTCCCTTTACAAGGCCCTTGGTAAGGCTACAAGGACTAGAGGCTAAAAGATATAAGGAACGGTTGCTAGAATTGGAATGTCATAGTTATACACGAAGAGAAAGGACAGGGGGGACAGGATAACAGTATTCCAATATCTCACTTTTTTTATATATCTTTTCTTCTTTCTCTTTTTTTTCTTTTTTATTATCTTTTTTTTAAGTACTTTTTCCTTTTAATACGTATGCTTTTTTTAACATATATTTTATTGTTAATTACTTTATAAATTGTTTATGTAAGGTATTTAGATATATTTATGACTTATATTTTTTCAATTTTTTTAAGATTCTTAAAAATTTTAATTAAGCCTATACTCAGCTCTGGGAAGATCGGGGGGGATGGAGAGGGAGGGTTGGGGTGGGTGGGTGAGGGTTGTTTTTGTTGTTGTTGTTGTTTTTTTGCTTTTTGTAAAAATATTTAAAAATTTTCAATTAAAAAAAAAAACAGTATTCCAATATCTCAGGGGCTGCCATAAAGAAGAGGGAATTAAGCTATTTTCCAAAGCGCCTGAAGGCAGGACAAGAAGCAACGGGTGGAAACTAATCAAGGAGAGAAGCAATCTAGAACTAAGGAGAAACTTCCTGACAGTGAGAACAATTAACCAGTGGAACTCCTTGCCTCCAGAAGTGGTGAATGCTCCATCACTGGAAGTTTTTAAGAAGAGACTGGACAGCCCTTTGTCCAAAATGGTGTAGGGTTTCCTGCCTGAGCAGGGGGTTGGACTAGACGACCTCTGAGGTCCCTTCCAACTTTACTACTACTACTACTACTACTACTACTACTACTACTACTACTACTACTACTACTATTACTATCATCATCATCATCATCATCATTCCACAGAAAAACCTCTCTCCACAGAACCGGTCCCTGGTGCCCAAAAGGTTGGGGAACTCTGCACTAGACCATTTCAGACAAGCGACTGTCCAGTGATGGAGTATCCACAAGTTGTTCCACTGGTTAATTGCTCTCACTGTCAGGACATTCCTCCTTAGTTCCAGGTTGCTTCTCTCCTTGATGAGTTTCCATCCGTTGCTTCTTGTCCTGCCTTCAGGCACTTTGGAGAATAGCTTGACTCCCTCTTCTTTGGGGTAGCCACTGAGATACTGGAAGGCTGCTATCATGTCCCCCCTCGTCCTTCTCTTCGTTAAACTAGACCTTCTCTTCGTTAAACTAGACATACCCAATTCTAGCAACCGTTCCTTATATGTTTTAGCCTCCAGTCCCGATCCTCTTTGTTGCTCTTCTCTGCACTTTTTCTAGAGTCTCAGCATCTTTTTTGCATCGTGGTGACCAAAACCGGATGCCGTATTCCACGTGTGGCCTTACCAAGACCTTGTAAAGTGGCATTAACACTTCAGGTGATCTTGATTCTATCCCTCTGTTCATGCAGCCTAGCACTGTGTTGGCCTTTTTTGGCAGCTGCAGCACACGGAGTGCTTATTTTCATTTTCCTGCCTTCCTCGACTTTGTTTAGTGACTGAAATTACAACAGCACAGAAAAAAGTGATTTATGACTTCAGCCATTTGTCCGAAATGGTGTAGGGTTTCCTGCCTGAGCAGGGGGTTGGACTAGATGACCTCCAAGGTCCCTTCCAACTTTATTATTGATTTATGACCGTTTTTCATACGTACGGCCACTGCAGCATGCCCAGGGTCACGTGATCAAAATTCGGGCACCTGGCATGTATTTTTAAATGACGGTTGCAGATTCCTCTCTCTCTCTCTCTCTCTCTCTCTCTCTCTCTCTGTGTGTGTGTGTTTGTGTGTGTCTGTGTGTCATGTGATCCCCTTTTGCAACCCTCTGATGAGCAAAGTCAATGGGGGGGAAGCGGGATTTGCTTAACCACAGGATTCACTTAACCGTACCCCCCCCCAAAAGGTCGTAAATGAGGAGCAAGTCACTTAACTGCTTCACCTAATGACAGAAATTTCAGGCTGAATAAATAAGTCGAAAACTACCTGTTAACCAGGGGTCTTCCAACTTGGCCCTTTGATGACTTGTGGACTTCAACTCCCAGAATTGTGCCTGGCTGAGGAATTCTGGGAGTTGAAGTCCACAAGTCATCAAAGGGCCAAGTTGGAAGACCCCTGCTGTTAACTTTCCTCAAGATTTGCAATAGCTAGCAAATCAACTTAGAACACTTCAGACCTTTTTCCTCCAATCCGGCCTGTCCAGCTGTCCAGTTTCACCTCTGTACTGGGATGCAACTTTCCAACTGCACCCCAATTTCGGCTGCGTCTTCCGTAGCAGCCGATCTGCTGCTTCCCACGCAGAAATGGCTGTCTTATTTATTATCTGTCTCGTAGCTTTGCAGACAAGGGGGGGGGAGGAGTGTTTCTCAATCTTGGCAGCTGGCCAATGGGTAGACTTCAACTATGCTATGCTGGCTGGGGGATTCTGGGAGTTGAAGTCCGCAAGTCTTCAAGTGGCCACATTTGGAGACCCCCGTCCAACTCCCTGCTTTAGGAGCTGAAGATCCAGAAAGCTGCTGCTTTCCATACTGGGGGGGGGGGAATCCGGTTCACGCCTCCCCCAAGGGCAAAACGACCGGCCCTTTTCTTCCGAGTCCTTTTATAACGGCCGCGGGTCTGGCTGTCGTCAGGCCGTCCTTAAATGAACCAAGCTTCGTTTCATTCTGGCTGCAATAACTACCCTTTCTGCAAAGAATGAGGTTGGGAAACACAACAACAGGAAACGCAGCCAGCCAGCTAGCTCAGAGGCCGCCCAGTTTGCTCAGCCTTGGCAAAGCGTCCACACATTCCAGAAACGATAGCAAAGACAGTTAGTTACACAACCGGGGTCTTGGCAACAAGATGCAGAGTGAAAAAAAACATCAGTTATCTCAGGGGTCTTCCAACTCGGCCCTTTGATGACTTGTGGACTTCGACTCCCAGAATTCCTCCGCCTGGGAGTTGAAGTCCACAAGTCATCAAAGGGCCGAGTTGGAAGACCTCTGCTTGTGGACTTTGACTCCCAGAATTCCTCAGCCAGCGTGCCTAGCTGAGGGATTCTGGGAGTTGAAGACAACA